AGTTAAATCGAAAAATCGGGTCTAATATTCTAAATGAGTAATTTGTATTTGCTTGTGAAGAAATTAATTAGGTGACAGTTAAGCAAAATCATGAATCCTAACCATTATCCTCTTCGAAATTTTCCTCAATTTTATGATTTGTTATTGTTGTAGAGTTTTTAGTTGTTTTCAATATTTTCAAAAAAATTAAAATTAAATGTGTGTGTGTTGTTGTTAGGAGGATTAAATTGACTAGAGTATTGTAATTTAAAGTAAACGTTTCTCGAGGGATCGGCTTTAACTCTTAGTCCACTTTATTATTTAAAAGTAAATCGTACACTTGCGGTATATAATTTTAACGAACGGATCTCTTGGAAGAAACGAAGTAAGAAGTTACCTTCTCACTTTAAAAGGAAGTCGCTTCGAATTTACTCTATAGTGGGTCATTGCACCTTACCTAGATCATGGACCTTGCTACATGAACATTGGGGGCTATATAAGGGTGTCCATAATGGACACCCGGCACCTCTACATTGGCCGAGGCGCCTGCCGTGCTGGGTGTCCATTATGGACACCCAGATGTAGCCTCCAATGTACAACAAGCATAATCCCTAGATCATACGGGTTGGGCCTGTACATGGCACCTTGATAGAGGTGAGCATTACTTTGACTACCTATTACTATTGGCCTTGGCTAGGTAGAACAATGACAAGGAGTACGGGCTTGAATTTTTTTGCTAGCAGCATCACGTGGTTGATGCTTAGAGCTTCACCGAATGAAGTGTAACAAAGTCTACAGATTTACCTGTTAAATTTGGAAAATTAGACTTGTAACTTATGCGTGACTTTAGGCGCAATGAAGAATATGAAACTAAAAAGCTATTCTCTTTCAGTTCCCTCTTCTCTTTACCTTATTCTTCATCCTATATGCATAAGAGTCTTGAGCTATATTGATTATTCCCTCTTTTAGAATTCATTCCTTGTAATGCTACATGCACAAATTTCTAGCTTTTCAACTCTTTGTGTTAAGGACCACATCTATACTTAGCCTCTTCATCCACTCGCAACTATAGTTTGCCCAACTTCAACCACACTTTGTAAATATTAGTTTAAGTTATAATTTTCATTCAGTTGTAATAGTATATTTCAGTTGTAAAATAACCTTGCTATTTGTAAATGTTTAATATGATTACTCGTCTTTTAAACATTAACTCATGTCACTTAGATTTTTGTTTCTTCAGCTATCATAGGGGCTACAAGGTATTCGAAAGTCTTATCAAGCTCACTGGTGTTCGTCTCCTATACCGTAATTGTAATTTTCTGCTTTCATCAATCAATGAACAAATTATTTTCAAAGCATTCAAAGTATGTTGCAAAGCTTTCTTTAAATTGTAATCAAATTATCTTTCATTTAAAAAAGATTGAGAAAAGGTGAAAGATAGTCTAGCTGAGCAGACTACTACCATATGGTGTCCCTTTTGTGCTAAAAAGAAAGGCACCCAAAACGTTGGTATTAGAGCTGTAGCTCATATCCCTCAATAAAAAAGCTATGGATCCAAATGCATCAAAAACCATGTGGATGACCCTCAAAAGAAGAGTACTAAATAGGGCATGCACTTAATGGGTAAACTATCAAGTTATGCTATGTCATTGAGAGCCTTTAAAAAAAAAAGTTAAGTTGGCCAAAAGGGATCCATGAATTACACATCCTACTGGATGAAAGCCGAGTGGGCTGCACAGCGATTACTAATGCCATGACAATGATTCGTGACCTATTGGAAGAAATGGAAACATTGAGAGTTCAGTTGAGAATACTCCAATGTGTAGTTAGCAATGGGAAAGCTCTCACACAAGATTATGTACCTAGGCTCATCCTAGAATCTTGAACCTATGGAGGTGCACACAATGCAAAGCAGGTCGAGAACTTATTTTCTTGTGACTACCATTAAAGACGAAGCATGAAGAGTAACGAATGCTACCATGTATTTATGTGGAGAAGCAAAATTGTGGTGGCGGACAACATATGTCGATATTGAAGCCAACAGGTTTCGAATAGACTCTTGGTATCTTTTCAAGGAGGTGATTAGATCATAATTTTTCCCTAAAAATATGGAATATCAGGCTTACTGGCATTATAGGAACTAAAACATACAGGTCCCATCCAAGAAGTATGTGAAATCCTTTTCAAGACACGTGCTGAATATTCAAGACATGTTCGAAAAAATAAGTTGTTCATGTTCATAAAAGGGTTGAAACTGTGGATACTTACAAAAATTCAAAGACATAAGTTAGCTGATTTGAGCAACATTAGGAGCTACCGAATATCTAACGGACTATCAACCTGAATCAAGAAAAGATTGGCCATAAGGGAATAGCCAATCTAGTAGGGGAGAAAACAAATTTTTCAAGCCTAACTCAAACTCAAATGGAGAAGAGCATTACTCTTACTATAAGGGAAGAGACAATCAAATCACTTGTCAAAGTAACTTGTAGGGAAATCATTAGAGTATTCATCAAGTAACTATCATGGTAACCATAGCCACAATTGTAGCAAAGGAAAGACATCAGAGGTAGATTTGATACTACTCCTAGAATTGTGTGCTTTTTATGTGAAGGACCTCATTAGGTGACAAATTGTCTATGAAAACTCCTCATAAGTACGTATTGTCAACTAACAAGTAGAGCATCAGGTTCAAAGCAAGATGTGTTGCAAGCTAGCAGCCACTACAAGATCGACTCCAAACAGGACGAGAACATGGTTGGTGCAATCATTAGCACAACATAATATCACACCGAGTAACTAAAAGGACGATGTTCCTTTGAATAAGGTAAATGAGAAAGAGCATAAACCCCGTATTTGCAAGGCCAAAGGCTTAGTGCATATCAATGTGAAGAACAATGGAAAGTGAATTAGCGCTTTGGTGGATACTAGTGCTACCTATAACTAACTTACAAGTACCAAAGTAGAGAGCCTCAAACTTGTCCCCGAAGAAAAGTAGTGGGAAAGTCAAAGCAATCAACTCAGCTACTCAATCATTACTAGTGTTGCCAAATCCATGTTGATCAATGATCGTCCTTTTGAAGGAATGATAGGCTAAATCAATAGTTGTATTGATGAAGATGAACACTTTGTTTATTTATTTTTAATTCAAGCAGAAGTAGTTTAATATTTTTTGCGTTTTTTTGATTAATTATGCATGCTCGTTGTATATTTAAATGTTTGCGTGTCATTTAGATAATTAATTGCTTGCTGTAGTGCTCAAGTGCTCACAATAAATTTAGAGCACTGCATGATTAACACACACGGATAATAGATATTAGGAATAACATGTATGGCATGTGTAATCATATGGATAATCATATAATTAAATACATTGCATATGAATTCGAATTAGGAATAAGATCGAATTGTGCTTAAAACAGGTTTAACTGTGAGAGAGAGAGATAGTTAAATAAAATTGAATTAATGATTGTCATTACACAAACCACATTAAACTACTAGAAATAGGATATTAATAAGTGGACTCGAAATTCCAACACTATCCTTCCATATAAGTTTATAAACCATGTTTTTACATACCTCGTAGAATAATTATACTAACAATATCTTTTGAGTGACCACCATTCGAGTTTGATAGAATACTAGTACACTTAAATTAAAATTTATTTCTTATGAAATGATACCCTACTCATCACATTTATTACTTGTCAACGGTCCCGTACGCTTGTATCATTTATCAGAACAATATGTTCACATATTTTTATGTTTACCTACTGATTTTTAAGTGCTATTAATGATTCCACTACATCTTCCTTAGTTATTTTTGCGCCAATTGGCTTAGAAAAACATGAACGTGAGCAGCAGGAAAATGAAGTACAACATTTGTGCAAGAAATTGACAGATTCAATGCTTTTCTCACTTGTAGGGTGCTACTACACCTGTTGCAGTCTATTCAAATATTAGCTTTTCTCCAATTAGAGGCATTGGATGGGGCTAGGCAGGGTTTATGCTCCTCTGGATATTATCAAATCCATAGTTCATTATGCTTTAACTGATGAAGCCTGGAAACTCTTGTTTGATAGTCAAGGTCAGTGCAAAGTTGAATTTTTGTTAAATTTTGACGAAATTTCTTAGTTAAAAACAATTAAATGCTGTCTGTTTTAATTACTATTTTCGACAGACTGCTTTTGCCTCTCAAAGAGATTATGGAAAGAAAGATAGTGTTAAGGAATAAAATCTCACATCAAATAAAGATGAAAACATAGACTAATTTATAAGTGATTGAGCTATTTCTCTTAAAATGTTGATATTTTAAGATGGAACCCCAAATCTTAATATGGTATCGAGTCATCAAGCTCAAACGAGCAATTCGACCAAATTAAAACTCAAAAAGATGAGCACACAAATTTCAAAATTGGTCTACTCAAACAAGCCATCGTCTTGCCGGGACAAACATGACGACTAGGTGGGCACTTTCCCAGAGAACTATATACAAGGCTTGCAATCAACAGAGTTCGAGAAAAATAGGAGAGGATCTTCTGTAACTGCTAAACAGGTATGGCGTCGTGCTGAAATTGCCAGGTTTCTTAACTGACAGGAGCACTTTTAATGATCTTCTCATTCGTACATTGTTCTCAATAATTTCAATGAATCTCCTGAAAACTTGCAAAATATATGGTACCCTCTCCAGGCTAGCAAGGTTCAAAAACTAGGACCTCAGTAAGATCCAAGCTAGTCGTACAGTTGGGAACGACAACGAAAAGGTAAATGTTTCATACAATTTTTACTGACTGAAAACTAATAGAGCAGCTAACTTGCATGATATGATTCCATTGCACAACACGATCTCTGTGCCATAGTTAAACAGATCTTAGAGAATAACAGCCACGTAATGTAGAGAAAATACTTTGCCATTATACCTGTTGTGTTAGTTTCTAAAATTGCTGAATTGTGTCAACTTTTTCATCTGAAGAATAGCTGAAAAAAGGTCTTCACCCTTCTGCCTAATGTTCTGCATTATTTCAGCCGTGGATAAATTTTAAACGCTTTCTGATTGTTCCGATAAAGGAGAAAATCCTAGTCGAGAAGTATAGCTGGGTATACAGTCTTTCAATATTAGAAATGACCAAACTCTTATGAATAGAAAAGGAAACTTCTATTGAGACACGAAACNAGGTTCTATTGTCATAAGGTAACCTTGGAACAATATCATTACAATACACTACCCTGAAGTACTTCGGATTGGGATATTCCAGATGTGATTCCATAAACCTCCCTAACTGCCTGTTACCAACCCTTGGTTGTCCATACGTGTATACACCTAAAAACCGTTGCATGACCTCATCCTCCTCGTGAAGAATTAGTACTGTTGGGAACAATATGGCCAGTGCTCCTCCCAAACTATGCCCCGTGACAACAAATTTTGCATTCTTATGTTCCTTTAGTAAGCTTTTGAGTTTACTTCTCAAGGAATAATATGCAGTCCTCTCTCCCATAACTGGAAGTAGCTTCTTGTCGGAAGACTGGTCCAATACACCTTGTTGATTAGAGGTAGACAATTTATAACCTTCAGAAGGAGTACTAGCATAAAGACGATTAAAGTTACCAGAATTAACATTTTTTACTTGGAGATTTTCTTGGAATGACAAGGTATTCTTTCTAGTGCCCAACCCTAAGGCCTCTAAGAACCCCATATGCACTTTACCAATTTCTGGTATTTCGTACCAAGAGTAGTCAAAATCTGTAATCCAATCATCAGCATCAAAAGGTTCTGTTCCTCGAAAGCTAATTAATATCAGATTTGCATCCTTTGGCTTATCACATAATATGAAAACTTGGGTCGACTCTTCTTTCTGATATTCTGCAACACAAAGGATAAGCACCCAACGTAATATTTAGGAACAAAGAGGGAAGTGGAAAACATGGTTCTACTAACATCTGAAGCAAAATTCTTACCATTCCAGCAGTTATAGAAATCCACAAAATGCATCTGCTTTTCGGATATGAGAAATTCAAAAGATTAATATTTGGTATGGACCACATGTATTCAATCTATTATTGAGAAAGAAGAACAATACAGAAATCATACCTTCCAGTGAAGATTTATGACATTTCTAACGACCTTAGCATTCTCGTAGGCTAATTTTGAAGCCATTAGGCACAGGTCAAAAAGTGCCTGATTTCCCATTTCTGGTCTCAAAAGATTGTTAAGAATATTAGGTTCATCAAACTCTTTAAGCAACATATCGCTCTTGTACAGATCTATACGCCCATCTAAATGTCCAATTGCACTAATAAATGTTTCCGAGCCTCTTTGTGGTATCACAATGTCTCCTGTTCATTGCATTTATGAAATAACTGAGGCAATCTAATGCCATGAACATAAAATTCAGTAGGAACGAGCAAGATACCAATAGCTCAAAAGCACCAAAAATATTCTCATAAAATACTTGGACTGTAAGAATTCCTTGTAAAACACAAAGCAAAAAATGAAATTCTCAATTTTAATTTTCATGCTGATTGCAATGAAAAGTGTAATGATATAGAGAGAATAATAAACCGAAATTACACGGTAATACTGGTGAGATATGAAAAGTATAATCTTAACTTGTTCAAATGCCACATTTGATAAATGAAATAACAAGTCTTTTTAATCTCAAACATGCTATGTGATCCTTTTTCCACTATAATTGCACTCTTATATATCATATATGTGTGGATATATTGTGTATTAAGAACGAAAATTGCGGATATGGTTGGCAGAGTTAATCTTTCAAGACAAGAAGCTTGAAATAGTTCCTTTAGCAGTAAAAAGGGAAAAAATCAATTATTTAAAAATTGTTCTTACTTATACCTAATTACTAGTTTGGAATCATACTTGCACAAATATATTACTTTCGTAATTTAGAACTATCAAAAATTAGCATTTTCTGTGTAGGTCGGTATTATGGTGCTGTTTCTACTACAAATATGGCTGAGGAAGAATATTTGTCACACTTCAGAAATAAAAAAATATAACATTCACTTTAAGATAGGGCAAGGATTAGTGGAAATCAAGATGCAAGGAATTCTTGTTACATTAAGAAAAAGAAGCACTTTTAAGTTGTAAAAAGAACCTATAGATATCCTACAGTAATCTAGAGTCAAAGTCCAATGCAACCTAGAATAGTCTGAATCTTGAAAGCAAATGTTATAATCAGAAGTATAACATTCTCTTTTGGATAGGCCCCTGAATGGAGAAAGTTTCTATTATTGAACTCACATAACCCTACAGTACCGATTTTGGAAACATCCAGCGGATTAAGTCTTGGACTGTAATCTGCTAGGTTACGAGTGAGCACTTTACCAGAGATATCTTATCTAAAAAAAAGTTGAATCCCAACCTTGAGGGCCCCGATGTCCCATCCCAAGAGCTCTGTGAGGGAGGTAAATCGTGGGATGTGTCCCAACGAACCAGAGAACAAGAGCTGCATGTACACTGCGCCCAATTCCATGTCTCTGGAATCGAACCCACGACAATGATGGAACCGCCTGAATAATCAACCTATTTTCCATAAGAGTCGAACAAAATTTTCCTCGCTGTATTTGGGATCAACCATAGGCGAATATCTAGAGATGTTTGTAAACATCATAGAAGCACTGCCAAAGTATCCACTTATGCACAAATTAAAGACATTTCAGCTTATTCATCACGGTTTACATCTATAGTCACCCATAGAAACAGTACAATTCTACTAATCAACTATATTCAACACTCCGAGGAATGAAAAGGGGAAATGGATGAATAAAGTTGAGCATTTTACCATGTAAAATTCTGTAGGCCAATCCAAGAAAGTTTCCATTGAGAGATAGAAGGTTTAGGATGAACTCCACAAGGTATCCAGTCCATTCCAGAGGCTTCCCAAATATCTTTATAACTTTCCTCGCTATTATCGACACAACTATCCCCCATCTGTTATCACCATTGACTTCTTCCTCAAACACCACCACACCATCACCATGGGAACCTTCAAGAAATTTGGCTACACTTTGTTGATTATTCAAGGCCAAGAACTTGAAGAGGTCCAAAATCCCACCATTTTCAGGCTTCACAATCAAGAACCCAGAAATGGAAGACATTGGCCCTCAATTTTCTTGTTTTTCTTCGCTTTTTCAAAAACCTTAACAGCAATTAATAAGCATTTACGCGACTACAGGAAAAAGGTAAAGTCACTTGTAACTATTAAATTCTGTGCACATATATCCATAATGGATTCTGGTGCGTACGCGTCATTCTTTGGTGACCTGTTATCACTTTTGGACACTGTTCTATGTAATAGTAATAGTATACTATTAGTCAATTTGAATCTCATTAATTTTCATTCTATTTTTCTCTTATATTTTTAACCACGCTCTTTATGATCTCGGCTTATGATTCAATTGCCATGTATTTAGCTATTGAGCCTCAAAGTTTATGTTTTTATGTGATCGCAGCATCAAAAAGAAAGTCTGAATTTTCCACGGAAGCCGGCTCGAATCTTTCACAAAATAATATTACACATAAATCAACAAAAAATTCCTTCTTTTTCAATCACTTAAAACAAAAACAAAAAAACTATTCCACCTAATTTCATTTCCCAAAAATAGGAAGCCATACATGGGCTTAGTTTTAGTACCATGTAACATATATGGGCTAAGGGCTTATCCCATTGTGGGCTGTTTAAAATTATTGACTATTGGATATGATCAGGGATTATCAATGTCTCGCTCACCACAGGTTCGGATTGTTTTTGGGTAAGCCAATCAAGTCTAGGTGTCTCAGCTCACCCGGAAGGTACATGGAGCAAGTAATCATCATATGGAACAATTTATTATTTGAAGTAGTAACTTGTTATTTGAGACAACAAAATTACAAAAAAATAATGGTTCAAATAACAAACTGCAACATAGGATGACAAATGCAGTCGCTGACTACAAATAGCATTACTCATACAATAATTACAAATTTATATTAACCAATCAGATTATCACCAAGAAACTCAATTATCATAGAACAAATCTAACTGAGAAAAACAAACGCACAAATCAAGCTGATCAGAATATTTTTCAACTGCAATCAAAGTGACAAAGCAATAGTTGATAATGGGAACAATATCCTTGAGCGGCCAAGCCACCCAGGGTTCTGTTCTAGTACATATAGCATGTAAGGATGAATATCGAGTAAAATCCCCAAGACCCAACTGCATCAAACACGACAGCGAAATTTCAATTGGAGAATGTTTATTAATTGTACACCATATACTTTGGTGTTGCACTGAACTTCTGGTACCCCTTAATGACTTTGTTGACAGCATCTAGAAAATCTTTCTCTGTGACCGTCTTCCTTCTTGCTCGTATAGCATACATTCCGGCCTCTGTGCACACGCTCCTTATGTCAGCTCCTGAATAAGAAGATCCACAACTTAGTCAATAAATCAATCATTAATCAGACATAATTACAAGCAGACATAAGAACATTTCCGAAAGTGAAATTTTGTAACAAATTCCTCATTGATAGAATGAAGTTAAAACAATTTTCAATTTGACCCTATTCCATTCATGTAAATTTTCAGAACTTTCAGGCATATTTCTCATAACAGTTCATATTCACCCAGAGTTTGCTCATGAAATATAGTCATCCCTGGGGTCTTAGGTAGTCATGCCTTATCCATGGTTAAAGACACAGATTGCTGGTACCAATCTTTCTCATAGTATGTTCAATGATGCTATACAAAATCAACCCTATAATCCATTCAACCTTTTTCAATAACAGAACAAGGCCAATAAGATATACCAGTAGAAATTTTCGAAGCCTAACTAATATGAAGAGAGTTCAATTTCATACCAGTAGAGTTTGGGCAAAGCCGAGCAAGAAGTTCAAACCGGATGTCCCTCTCACAATTCATTGTTCGTGTATGAATCTTAAATATCTGTGTTCTGCTTTCTAGATCTGGCAGTCCAAACTCCACTTTACGATCAAGCCGTCCAGGACGTAATAGTGCAGGATCCAGTGTATCAGGTCTGAAAAAATAAAAAATAAACAGAATTAGATTAGGAAATACAAGCGATTGTAGAATTACAGCTTAAGAAGCCACTGAACTACAAAAAGCAAAATCTGATCTTAGCAGATAATACAGTATTACATTCTATAGAAAACCTTAGCAAGCATAAAACAATAATTCTACATCTAAAATTTGAGAGAAACGGAGTGCCACCCAAACACCCCCAGAACCAATGAAAATGGAATGTAAAGGGGAAGTAATTTGATATATATACAGGCATGCAATGGTTACTTCATTTTTGCAAACTTCCAAGTCAGACATATCCCAGTAACAATGAACAAATTTTGCAGAGCATATGGAATAAGGAAAAATTGACACACAGAAAAAAATGATAATTCTGTAGTTCATATGCCTAGTCAACGCTCCAGAAGATCATTAAAAAACAAAAACAAGACAACCTGGGTCAACACACTTGCATCATTTATTTAGTCAATATTTCTCTATAAGAGAAAGGGGGGTCGTGATAACATGTGCACGAAAGCAAGAGCATTTCAGGTGCTAAAACCACCTAAATTTTAGATTGATAGAATGAGCAAGATAATTGATATGGACATGTCATTCATGTTACTCTATCAATTATCTTACACCCCGGAAGAGAAAAAATCATTGCGAAGTTTACTTAGAATGAATAAAAACAAAGTGTGACAGGTAAACGAGGAGAGCAAACAGAACCTATTAGTTGCCATTAGAACTTTAATATTGCCACGAGCGTCAAATCCATCAAGCTGATTGACAATTTCAAGCATGGTGCGTTGGACCTCATTGTCTCCACCCACTCCATCATCAAATCGTGCACCTCCAATGGCATCTACTTCATCGAAAAACACAATGCAAGCTTTTTTAGAGCGGGCCATCTGCACAGGGAAAAGGTGATAGTCAGATGGCAAGTAATGTAAGAGAACATGTACACAAACTAAAGTAACCGAGGATTTGACCTGAAATAGTTCACGAACCATCCTTGCTCCCTCACCAACATATTTCTGAACAAGCTCGCTTCCAATAACACGAATAAAACACGCATCAGTTCTGTTAGCCACGGCTCTGGCTAGCAGTGTTTTACCAGTACCAGGAGGACCATAGCAGAGAACACCCTTTGGGGGATCAATCCCTAGCTTTACAAACTTTTCAGGGTGAAGCATAGGCAGCTCAACAACCTACCATATCCATCAGATCGTGCAGTCATGAAAGAATATAAAATTTCTTAATAAATCATCTAATAGAGTTATCCAAAAAGAAAAGTAGCAATAGTTGATGAGAGAGCAAAAGAATACAAAGAATAGATAGCAGCAATAGCGATGAGGACTATCTATTCAGAGCATGACAAGAATCAATATAAAGCATACCTCTCGCATCTTTTCAATTTGCTCTTTGCATCCACCAACATCATTATAGGTAACATCTGGCTTTTCCTCCACTGTCATCATTGTAACACTTGGATCAATTTTTGGAGGCAAGGGGATCTGGATTTGATATTTATTCCTGTCAACGCTGCAATGATGAAAGAAAATGTCAAACTATGTATCACGCAATAGCAAGAGAATCATGTGCCAGCATTGAGGAAGTTCCAGCCTACGGTATCACATGTTACCAAATAAAAAGCAAAGACAGATTTTGGCATAATGAGGAGAAAGAAATGAAAGAGAGCAAATTTCAGAACCATCAGCAGCACTGAAACAGGGGACATGTAGTTGAGATTGTGAACCGCCCTAATTCAGATGTATTACATACAACTAGGCATTTCGTATACAAATAAATTGCTATTCCGAATTTGGAAATAAAAACTACAGCAATGGGAAAATTTCCATGTCACTTCACTACATCACCATTGCGCTCGATGGAACCACCATGCTAAGTTAAGCACATTTCAATATTTTGCAGTATAAAACAGAAAAATCTTTCTACCAAAATGATTCCATCTGTGCACTTTATTATCAAGCACAACAAAAAAGTCAAAAACTCCTGCAAATAACAAAGATATATTTGGTAGCGTAAAGAAAAACAAGACAGAAAAAACTTACCCAACTCTCATGCCTTCTTCTATATCAGTTGGTGAAACTTTATCACCCAATCCAACAACAAACTGCAAGAATGAAATGGTGCTAAAATGAATGAGATGTTCACAACTATGACAAAATTTTGAGTAAATAAATGAAATAACTTGCCTTACACTACAAATGCAAAACAAACATGTAGCGCAGCTGTTATATCTGGACAACTGTTATATCTGGATATGGCTTTGGAGGAATTATCACTCACTAGATTCTTTTATTTTTTTTTTTTCACTTAGTTGAGCTATAGGTTGAAACTCAAAATTCTTGAAAAAGCTGTCGAGAAGAAAGGGAAGCTAACATACCTTTGCAATTTGTTTAACATTTATAACATACTTCGCATCTTCTGTGTTTGGGCTAATGATCTTGGTACATCTTGCAACCTGGTCACAAGATGTAGTTACGGCCTTGCAAGATATAAAATAAGGTAAGCAGAACAAATAAGTTAGCAATCAAAAAAATTACCTGGAGAGGTTGCTCCTCCTGCATCATTTGCTTATCAGAGACAAGATCCCATTGGCTGGGGGCAGCTAAACCAGTGTCAGATTCCTTGATACCTAACATGAAGTGAAAACTCAACAGATTATTCTTGGCGAAACTAAAGTAATTAAGAACAAGATAATCCATGAGTACAGCAGATAATGACAGAGATCAGAAGTTTTCAAAAAAGACGACTCAGTGATTAGACAAAATTTAAAGCCTTGATCATCTTCTAAAGAAATAAAATTAGGGCACGAAACATACCACATAAATCATTAATTTTCTTGGCCATTTCCTTGATTTCCTTCTCGGCTTTCTTTATGCTAGTGGAGTAAGGTCCCAAGCCCTGCATACATCATTTCATCAGTAAAAGCAGCATTTTACAAGCATGCTTAATTATCAAACACTTCAAAGGCCATTATTTAACAAGAAGAAACTACCATCACCAAAACTTAAGCTATAAAAACAGATTGACTATGGTGTGCACCATAAAAAGCCTACACACACTTTTTCTTTATTAAATTACATAAATCCATTAAAAGCCTAAATTGAAGAGTAGAAAAATCCAGATAAAATGAGGAAACATAAACAAACAGTTAGTCTCAAGTCCTAACCAGGATTGTACACTAAGCTTCAGTTCAAGTTAAGAAAACTAATAAAAAAATCTTAATTTATATTTAATTTCCAAACCCCAGATCCTAAAAATACCCAAAACCTGGCTAGAATCCTTGCACCACAATGTACAAATCATTTATAGTTCAGCACATTGCTTGTTACTCTTCGTAATATAATTAAATAATAAAATAACGCACTCGATTCTCATTAGGGTTTTCTGAAGCTACAGTTACTAGAACTCCGTTCCAATTCAATATTCCTATTCTAGATCATAATTATTCCATTCAATATTCCTATCCTCAGCTCAGACCTCACAAAATAATCTGACTATTTTCATTTCTTCGATGTCTAGTAGAAACAAAAAATAACAAAAACATAGCTGAAAATTAGGGCTCACGAGAGGGGGAAAAGAACAGTACATAGGTTTTGAGAAGTGCGATATCGTCTTCATCAAGTGGCGGAGGGTTCTTCTCGTCCTTGATCGCATCTTCAGGATCCGGTGCCATTTTTCAATAATCTTATTTGATTAACTTTTTTTTTCCCTCTGAATTTTATAGATGAAAGTTTTCTTGAGGAAGAAGAAGTGAGGAAATGGGCGAGACCGAAAAGGCTATTGGGATTTTATAAACCCCATTTATATCACGTGATCTGCACGTGTACCCGGCCCAAAATACATGATACTGATGGGGTACTTTTTAAATTGGCTTGGTCAAACAACCAATTTTTCAATTTGACCATTTTTTTTTATTCACCTTATTGGCCTCTTGTCAATAAAAAGACAATTGTGCCCTTATTTATGTTTCACAATTACAAAAGTATACCAATTCTTTGAAAGACAATAATACCCTTAAAAGTTTAAATAAATTCAGTTACTTCCATACGTAAATTTCAAAATCAGTTTTGCTTATCAATTTCTTCAATACAGTAAAAAAGAATTTTTTCCTTCCATCTGCTAAAATATTGAAATTTCCCAAAATTATCAAAGGTTCAACAAAGAAACAATACTCACAGTTGGCACAGAAAATTGGTAAGTGTAAATACGTATTTTTTATTTTGTTTTAGTTAAATTTACTGTTTGAATCTTTAAATCTTTTTTAATAAAGGCAGATGAATTTTACAGTATTTAAACGCACATGTATAATTTTTTTATAACAAAAACAACAAAAAAATTCATCTCTGTATGCATATATTTTACAGGAAAAATTTATAGGTAGACGTAAAATAAATATTTAAACATTATTTCGTAGAAAAAGGGAAAAAATAAAAAATTCGAGCGTAAATTCCAGATGAAACGGACAAAAAAGTTGGGCCAAATGTTTCCAGTCGGCCTACTTTTTCTTTTTTCTTTTTTCCCTCCTCTCCCCTTTCAGATTTTAGAATTTATTTGTTCATTAATATATTAAAATAAATATTAATGAATATTTAATACTAATTGAAATAAATATTTTTGAAACAATTAAAATAATCAATAAATTATTTAAAGTATAAAATTAAATTAAATATGAAATGAACAATTTAAAAAATTATATATTAATTCCTTATTTTTAATTTGTAGCAGATATGGCATCAGCATGTGTCCTGTAACGCCCCAAATTTTATGAACTTAAATTCGAGGTATTACCGATATCATTTCATATACATACTTGAAGCGGAAAAATTTA